TAGAGGTGATAAAAACAAAAGCTATTTGGTGTCCTGTTTCAAACCTCAAAGTCAGTGACATATGTTCTTAACTACCAGCAGTGCAACAATGTGTTTTAGCATTAGGTGCTGCTTCTGTCTTGGAAACAGACCATCATATCAATAAAATTACGCCTTTGTCAAATTAGCATAAACATGCACAAACATGATTCTGAATCTCAGCCTCACCAGAGCAAAATTTGCTTCCAACTGGCGAGCAGATCTGGCAGTCAGATCTTTCAAAGCCATCTGACAGCAGTCCAGGCTAAGCTATGTATTTCTCTGAGTAGTTCAGAGCTGTGCACAGGCTCCGTCCTAAACAGAGGTATGGGGCTCTATATTCTCAAGAGTTCAGCGGTGCTGACATCCCACGTGCCCTGCCTAATGAGACCCTGCTAATCCCTCACCCACCAACAAGACCTTATTAACTCAGACAAGAAGCCAAGTTTATGTCACCTTGTTAAATAGAACAGCAAGATAGCAAGCCCATGAAGGGAAGAGCAGTGCTATAGAGCACATTAGACACAGCATGCAGCACTGGAAAAAAGGTCACCCCACAAAGCCATCTACTACTCACTTTTACTAATGTTCAAAATTTGTAATGTTTAAATGAAATGCAGTCTTGTCCTGCAAAGCTACTGCAGTACACCCCATGGATCAGCTCTCATACGGAGGATGTAAACAACACAACTCTGCCTCCCAAGGGCTGTGCTGGCTTCACATGGCTAACAGGAGCAGAAGTCCTTAACACCGTTGCTTCCCTACTCTCACACAGGGCAGCTCACACCATGAGCTGAGCCACATGGGAAATGCTCAGTCACTTTAGAACAGAACCATCCCCGACACCCCCATCAGGTTACCTTTTTGCGGCGAGAGTCTGTCTTGCTCATGCAGGACTTCTCCAGAGACAGGTAACCACCGATCACCTCAATCTCATGCACAGTGGGATAGCGCTTTTTAAGCAGTGGCCCGAGGTCCAGGAGGAGTGCACCAGGGCTCCCCAAGGTTTTGCCCTTGCTGCCGCTTTCCTCATCTTGTTCTTCTGGTTGCTGAGCTCCGCTGGTTCTACTGTCAACCTCCGTCCCAGTGTTGTGTGGCTTCCTTTTGGGCACTATAGTAAAGGTATTGCCTCCTCTCTGCTGGAGGGAAGAGGAGACAGGGTGGGGTTTGTACAGAGGTATAGCAGTAGCCTCTGTTCCCAGTGCTGAGGTAGCTTCTTGGGGCTGCTCTGAGTCCTTCAGTCCCACAGCAGGGCCCATCTCTTGAGGTAGGCCCCCAGGATCCAGCTCCACAATGTCATCATCAATATAAGTCACAGGCACCAAAAGATCTTGAGAGACCTGTGGGGGGGTGATGGGCTCCTCCTGCTGCTCACACTCAGGCTTCAGGGGTGTGACAGTCCCTGCAGGTTCTGTCAGACACTGTCCTCCACCACAGCGGGGGACAAAGAGGAAGGAGTTCCGTGAGGTTAGGCGCAGATTGGCCAGGGCTTGCGCTTGGAGATCATTAGCTGGGATGGTGGCCAGGTCCGGCTTGGGGGCTGGGCGGATCTCGAAGGAGCCCCCATTCCTGAGAGCAGATGCCGAAAGCGGCTGGCCTGAGCTAGGGGTGGCACTGGGTTGGGGTGGCTGGATCTCTTCTCTTCTCTCCGGTTTTGGCTGGGTGTTGGCTCTGGCAACAGAAACGCTTGGCGATGGCACTGGAGGTGCCTTGTCCTGCAGGCTCCTACCCCCAGGGCTGGCACTGTGCTCCAAGGGGCCATTTGTGAGCGGGGCACCACTGTCCCGGCGGAGACCCCGAGGAGTGACAGTGAAGGAGTTGGAGCCGATTTTGTGCAGGAAGCCACTGGCCCGTGAGGGATCCGG